ACTAGGGTGACTTTGAGGGATCTGAATTCACGCTTGGCCCTAGAAGCAATGGTGCCTGTGGGTATGAATTATGCTACAATTGGGAATTAATACAATCTGCTAAGTAGTCCAACAAGAACATAAGTTAGATAGGTCAGGCTTGATCAGACGTCTCAGGCACTGCATCTGTTGCTTTCTCCTTTGTGAGGACAGTGCTTACATTTGAATCTTTTCAAAGTGTTTGCTGCTGCTCAGGAAATGGTGACATACTGCTGACTCTGCTCAGGGGACATGGGAAGTGGATGTCTTTGCTATTGACTTCTTCATGCAGCTTGATGATATCATGTGTCATATAATGACACAGAAAAGAAGGCAACGCTGATCATACCCAGTCCTCCACCACCAGAGACAACCAGGATATGAGCAGCAATTCAGGGTGTAGAGGACTTAAGTCACCGAAGCCTTCCTACAGTAAAAAGGCCAGCATAACAGCTGGGATGTGCCACAGTCGGGAAAGAGAAAGCGTTCAAGGTCACACCAAATAGCTTCATCCCTGCAACAAGAAGGACGACCACTTAATTTGAAATTCTATGGTGATTCAGATGGCTTCATCCTAGCTCTGCCTTTCTGACTGGGCACTCTGTCCCAGGGGTCACTACAGGTTCAGGAAGCCTAACTCCCTGCTAACACCCCAGTGTGCAGGGTAGCTCATACTGCACTGGCATAATTGCCTGCTTCAGATCTCATTTTTGAGGACCAGACTTACCCAGCATCACCACTGTCAGAGGTCAGCACTGGACTTATCACAGAGGACCCTTTGTTCAGAGGCTGCAAACATCAAGCTGTGCACTGGTGCCTGAACAGCATGAAATAGCATGTAGCTGCTCAAGAGAAATGCTAGTCATCTCTATCATGTTAATCAAGGAAAAATTCCTTTCTCATCCCAGATTTGGTGATTGGCTTAACCTTGAGCATATGAGTAATATGCAACAAGGTGGTACTATAAGGGTTTAAGATCTTAAAACCATCAGATCGTCTTAAGTCAATCTAACTCAGCCTACGACTGCAGCCTCCACAGTGCTGCAGAGGACAGCAATGAAGAACTGGAAGCCAAAGTGATACATCTTTGGAGGTGGAGAGGATAAAAGAGGCAAAATAGTGCTTTATTTTACAAACTTTGTCAATCACCAGGAGAAATCCTGAATGCAGCATTACTACAACAGAAGTAAAACACAAATAAACATGAACACACAACAGTCTGGTTTCAGTTCATCCTTTTTGAAATACTAAAGGACTTCACCGTTCTCATTCCGGTATCGTCTTTTTTCCTAAATTTTCATCTTTAGTATAAGCAATGCATATTCCCTGTTCTTACCTCATTCAGAACACTTTTACTCTTCAAATGTTTATATACCATCTTCTAATTTCCTACATAAATTAACCATGACTATTTTATAACTGTTCAATCTTGTACCATAACTTAAATTCCCCCTCCCAATATATTTATGGAGTCATCACTTCCACTCTCATTCAGCTTTTCTTGCTTTCTTTCCATACCTTGTTAAGTGAACTGAAGAAAGCAAAATCCACAACACCAAGGAAAGCAAGAGCAGAACAAGAAAACTGTGGTCCTATAAACAGGACATTCTTTTGGAGTGGGTGAGTGAGAAGGTAGGCTGCAGAACTTGGGCATCCAGGTCTCCCAGGACTACTTTTGCATTTTACAATAAACAGAGAACAAATAAAATGCCTGCACGTGTACAGCTGTTATCCAAACGATTAAGCCTGAGCTTTAGGTTCAAACAGCATGTTTGCATGGTGACCTTACATGTTGTCTAATCCCATCCAGGTAGCAGGTAGCATTCTACGACTATTTCCAGATAGTTTTAACTCAACAAGTAGCAGACCAGACAGGGTTTTTGCCTAACTGGGTTAGATGTGAACAAAACATGATATTTTGCTGACCACTTTCCCAATATAGAAAGATACTATTATCAACAGGCAAACCAACAGCCAAAATCCTCCCTCTGCACTTACACCATATACTAGAGATCCAAGGTGCCAAACCACTGGAGGGAAGAATAAGTTAATACACTCACTCACAGCATAGGATGTGAAGAAGGGAGCAAGCTGACCAAGAAGCCAAGCCATGGGATCTGGAATCAGCCAGGCCATGAGCCCAGTTATATAGTAGAGACTCAACATTCTCCCTGCCATCCTGGGAACTCTACTTGCTATGCAGTTAGGAACCTTTTCCAATAACCAGAATCCCCACACAGCACATGCACTATGTAGACAGACCTCCCAACCCCACTGCAAGCAGTCAGTTCTTATGTATGTGGCTTCTTGACCCACCTCCAAGTTAATATGGAAGGTGAGAGCACCTGGTGGAACTAATCAGTTCCCTCCCAAGGCTGGCCAGACCCTAGGTGAAAACAAAAAACGAGGGTCTTTCTTGCCTGGTTGTGGACATCATCCATATGCCAACCCTCATTCAGGGCTGGGGGTTTAACCCCAGCACTTCACATGATTCTTCATTCACATGTCAGATTCTTGTGGTTAGGGCCAAAGTTCCAGGTACTTGACGAATTACGACACCTACAGCAGTAAATTAACACGCCTGGAATGACTTTCTGACATTTGAAGGAAGTGAACAGAATAATTCATATTGACGTTTTCAAGCTTCACAAAGTTGCAGAGTGCATATATGCAAACCATCTAGCTGAGATGTTCCCAAGTCCATGTCAATTCTTTAACCATTTCTGGTACACAGCTAAGTGTAAGGCCAGACACTAGCGGTGTGCCCCAGGTATCCTATCAGGGCCCACGCTGCTTAACCTCTCCACTAACAGCCTGGAAGACAGCAGTGCAACTTCTGAAAGTTTACAGACAGTACAACACTAAGGGGTGTAATTGATACACTAGAAGGTTTTTGCTACCAGACAGACCTTGACAGGGCAGAAAAAGCCCTGGTACTGCTGGTGGACACCAACTTGTATGCAAGCAATACAGCCTTGCAGCAAACAAGGTCGACAGCCTTCTGAGCTGCATTAGCAAGACTGCTGCTAGCAGTTTGAGGAAGGTGATTTTCTCCTCTGCTCAGCACTGGCAAGACATGTGGAATGCTGAGTCCAGTTCTACACTTACCTGTACAAGGGAGACATGGACATGGCAGAGTGAGTTTAGCAAACTGCCCCAAAGATTGGAACATCTCAATTGGAACATCTGATCCACAAAGGGAGACCAAGAAGTGGGACTTTTCAGCCTGGAGAAGAGAAAGTTCAGGGAGATCCTACCAACATGCATAAATACCTGGTGGGGTGTCCTGGGTTTGGCTAGGATAGGGTTAATTTCCACCAGAAGCTGGGAGGGGGCCAGAGCCAGAAGAGGTACTAGAAACAGCCACTGGGATTTTTGATACCATACTGACATCATGCCTGGCAAGGTGCAGGGGTTTCTGGCAAGGGCCATTAAGGCAGCTCTAGGTCAGTGTGCTTATATCACTCATTTTACATATTGTTTACCGTTGTTACTACTGTTTTTTTTCTCCTCCTCTTGTGCTGTTTTGTTAAATTCTCCTTATCTTAGCCAATGGGATTTTCCCTTTTTTCTCCCTGTTCTCCTCCCCACCCCACCACTGGGGAGGGGTGGGGGGGAGAACGAATGGCCAAGTGGTGCTCAGCTCCCAGCTGGGTCTAAACCATGACAGGGGACAAGAGTGGAAGTAGAAAAGCCTGAGCCAGAGTCTTCTCAGAGATGTCTAAGGAAAGGACAAGAGGAAACTGGCACAAAGTGAAATACAAAAAAAGCCATTTACATACAAGGAGGAAAAAAAGCCCAAACAAGCCTGCAAGTCCAATCAAATGCTGAAGAAGTTATGCTGAGAGGCTCTAGTCTCCATGGTTGGAGATATTCAAAACCCTTCTAGACACACACCCCAGCAACATGCTTTAGTTGAGCTTGGTCTGTGCAGGGTGGCTGAAAGAGCAGTGTTTCTAGTGGTCCCTTCCAAGCACAACTGTTTTATGTTTCTGCAGTTGTGAACAATGTAACACATGAAACCCTACGCTACCATCACTACTCAGACCTTGACATGATATGAAGTTGAAAACCTGTCTACAATATTTTACTATTCATATGAAACAATAACTGTCAGGGGACAATTTCAGCCTTTATAGAATTAAATTTCCCATGAGTGTATATCCAGTAACTATTATAGCAACTATGCCTACAAAACTTTTGACTAGGGACCCACATTTCCATTACATCAGTGAACCATACCTGCGGTTGAATCTCATCTTTAATTTCAAGAAACATAAGAAAACGTGATTGTCTTGTATCCGTGACAATGATTTCACTACCTTATATTTGGAAATAACGGAGGAATGAGACAGCTTCTCTCAGACTTAGGATAAAGCTAGCAGCTTCTTGCTTTTTTCAGACAAACTTACCTACCTAACAAGTATAGGAAGAAGACTATAGGCTAAACCAACATTCTGAGCAGAGATCAAGCTGGTGGACAAAATCTCACCAATGCTTATCCAGCTTGTAGGTTTCATTGGTCAAGCAGAATGGTCAGCTGAGTTCCTAAAAAGCCAAAGGGTTTTTACGTACCTGTAAAGCTCACATTAGATGAGCTGGAATCCCAAGCATTTCAGATGATGGAAAGCAAATGTGACAGCTTATTAAATTCTGGGTTCAGCTAGTTATTAAAGCTAGACCTGAAAGCTGTAGTTCAAGTGCCCATCTTAAATGGAGTGATGAAGATCAAGTTTATGACTGCCTATGAGAGATGGTGGAAATGTGAAGATTTTATGAAAAGATTCATTTAGTAACAACAAAACTTCTAGAAACCGAGTCCTAGTCAGATCAGTAGAACAAAAAGTGCATTGGAATGTGCAGATCATTATTTGACATATCATTTGGGGTACTGAATTATCTTGCTGAAATAACAGGTGAGGAAACATGGCTTTTAGTCTTGTTCCTTTACTTTGTTTACTTCCATGAAAGCTGACTCTGTAAAAAGTTTACAAAATTAATACATTTGATAGAATTGTCTTTCCAACAGCACTGTGTGCATAAACTAAGTCCAGATGTTACAGAACAATCAGATACAAAGATAATTTTTCACTTTTTTTTCCTTTACAAATTAGCATTATAGCGATCTCTGTTCTGAAAGTCTCTATAAGCACGTCTCGCATCTGTTTTACTGTGCGGGATTCTTCCAAATGGCTCCAGGTCATTGAAGCAGGCATCAAAAACTTCATCCACAGCTTTTTCTGCTGTTTCTTTGCTGACTTTTCTAACAGCCAGAATGGAACGAATTGCTCTGTCTCGTACACAAGTCTGAAGTGGGAATCAGAAAAAGAAAAATCTGTCATTATTAGTTTAAATAATATTTTTCCAGATTTTTGTCAGGCATTAACTCCTGCTATATATGCAATAATCTCCCACTCCATTTCCCACAACCCCTGTTTTTTGTTTGGTTCTTATTGACCATCCATTGTCAGTGGTAATCCTCTATAACATGACTAAGTATTCAGGAAGTTCACTCTAAAACAACATGGTGGAAAAATAATTTATCATGAATCATTAAAGGTTATTAAAGATTAATCAAGAGAAAGCAGCAAGTCCATGGCATCTACTTCCTTCTCTCAAATCAAATCAAATCAGCAGACTTCAGCATCTACAGTCTTTACCTGATGATGTCGTTTTAATCCAAACTTAAACCTGGCTATTTCATTCATCAGTGTACAGTCTCCACTGAGATTAGCAGCTCGGATCTATTGAGGAAAAACAGCCACATGGTTAGAGAAACACAGAGAAATACAAAGGCAAAAAAGCTGCAATACATATTTTTCTTCAATATGTTTCTGGTGACTGCTGGTAGAGAATAATCTCAGGGTTGCTTCTATTTACTAGGTCCATGGTACCCTTTACATCTACACTCTCAGCCTCAACAAGCTGTAAAGTATTACTACAGAATCTGTAAGATTCTCCAGGGAAAAGTGTCACATATTCCCAAAGCTTAAATGAATGAGCAGAAAAACACACACACGTGTGTGTGTGTGTATGTGTATATATATATATAAAAAATACACAGACACATAAGAACTGCTAAAAAAACATTGAAAGTAATATTCTCCCCCAACTACATCAGAAGTTGATACAAGAGTCAGGAAGAAATTCAGATACCTTTCAAAGACTATAGCTGTAATACTCAGAAGAGCAGTAACACATCTCCTTCAGGCAAAGCCACATTTAGACAAGTGTGTGTGTTTTAGCTTGGTAACTGTCTTGTCCTGTGCATTGTAATTTCTACCTGACAATTGTTCCACACCCTACCTCCCTAGATAGCAAATGTAATTAGAACTAAATTTCTTATAATTAAGTAGCAGAATGAGAATAAATGTACGAAAAATCTGAAATGTAAGAATTAAAAAGCTGACATTAAAATTGTAAGCACCATATAATAAGCACATGATCTTGTTTTATATATGTTCTCTAATTTTAACATTTGAAGCTTACATGCTTTTTTATGCACTATGTAACTTCTTAGACAAAACAAAAAGGTAGAAGATACTTAATTATTCTGAATTATTCCATTGGATTTACAATTCAAGATGTTGGTAGCAGGCAGCCAGCTGTGAAGGCTTCTGCGAGATGAGACAAGGGCCTGCCTCCATGCCAGACAGAGCCAGTTCCAGTGTCAGCTGGCTCTAACATAGACCCACCACTGGTCAAAGCTCAGCCCATTAGCAATGCTGGTGGTACCTCTGTGATAATGTATTTAAGAAAGGATTAAAAAAACACTATGTGGCAGCTGTGAGAGAAAGAAGTGAGAAAAACGTGACAGACACAGCCCCACAGATGCTGAGATTGGCTAATATGGAGTGTGAGGAGTTGCTCCAGGTACCAGTGCAGAGCTTTCCCTGCCACCTGTGGGGAATACCATGGTGACAGAGGTTGTCTCCCTGCAGCTTGTGAAGGAACATGCTAGAGCAGAGATACAAACTGAAGTGCAAGGAGAATCCCACACCAGAGCAAATGGACATGCCCTGAAGGAAGCTGCAGCCCATCAAGAGCCCCCACAGGAGCAGGTTTTCTGTCAGGATCTGTGGCCCATGGGGGACAAACGCTGCAGCAGTCCATGCCTGCTCTGTAAGCTGTGGAAAGGACCCAGGCTTAAGCAGGTCTTGAACAACAGCAGCCCATGGGAAAGACCCACACTGGAGCAGTTCATGAAGGACTCTGTCCCGTGGGAGGGATCTCACACTGCAGCAGGGGAACAGCATGAAGAAGAAGGAGCAACAGAGGTCAAGTGTTATGAATTGACTGCAGCCCCCATTCTCCTGTGCCACTTGTGACGAAGGAGACAGAAGAGTCAGGAATGAAGGAGTGAAGTTCAGGCTGGGAAGAAGGGGAGAGGTAGGGAAGGTGTTTTTAGTTTTATTTATCACTATCCTCCTCTGTCATTAATTGGCAATAAGTTAATCTCCCTGAGTCAAGTGCATTTTGCCCACAATGGTAACTGCTGAGTGACCTCCATGTCCTCACCACGATCCATGAGCTTTTTTTATCTTACGTTTTAGTCCCCTGTTCTACTGAGAAGGGACAGTCAGATAATGGCTTGGTGAGTACTTGGAAGCCAGCCAAGGTCAACCCTCCACAATAATACAGAATGGCTTTATTAATACCACAAAATGTTACTTTGTTAAGTTTTATCTATAAAAAGATAATCAAAGGCAATAAAATAGCCAGACCGTGCAAGTTGCAGAAGGCAAAGGCAGAGACTGGGAGAAGGGATCCACCCACTGTAAGTAAAGGTCAGGTTCGGGATCATCTGAAGAACCTGAAGGTGTACAAGTCCATGGGACTTCATGAGATCCATCTGCAAGTCCTGAGGGAACTGGCAGTTCAAGTTTCTAAGTCACTTTCCACCGTACTGGAAAAGTCATGGCAGTCTGGTGAAGTGCCTGCTGACTGGAAAAGGGGAAATATAACCCCCAATTTTCAAAAAAGGAAAAAAGGAAGGAAGGCCTGGGCAACTACAGGCCAGGCAGTCTCTGTGCCTGGCAAGAACATGGAGCAGATACTCCTGAAGGCTCTGCTAAGGCACATGGAAAACCAGGAAGTGATCAGCAGCAAGTGACATGGCCTCACCAAGGGCAAACTGTGCCTGATAAATTTGGTGACCTTTTATGATAGTTACAGTGTTGGTGGATAAGGGAAGAGCAACCAACATCATCTACCCAGCCATGTGCAAAGCATTTGACACTGTCCCACACAACATCCTGGTCTCTAAATCAGAGAGACATGAATTTGACTGATGGACCACTTGGTGGGTAAGGAATTGGCTGGATAGTTGCACTTAAAGAGTTGCAGTCAATGGCTCGATGTCCTAGTGGAGACCAGTGACAAGTGGTGTTCCTCAGACATAGGTATTGGGACAGCTGTTATCTAACATCATTGATGGTGGCATAGACCGTGGGATCAAGTGCACCCTCAGCAAGTTTGCTGATGACACCAAGCTTTGAAGTGCAGTCAACACGCTGGAGGGAAGGGAGGCCATCCAGAGGGACCCTGACAGGCTGGAGAGGTGGGCACAAGCCAACCTCATGAAATTCAACAAGGCCAAGTCAGGTCAGGCACCTGGGTAAGGGAAAGCCCAAGCACAAATACAGGCTGGGCTGAGTAAGGACTGAGAGCAGTCCCGAGGAGAAAGTCTTGGGGATGCTGATTGATGAAAACCTCAACATGTACAAGAGAAGTGCAGCAAGCCATTTGCATCCTGGGCTGCATCAAAAGAAGCACGGCCTGTAGACTGAGGAGTTGAGTCTGTCCCTCTGCTTCCCTCTCCTGAGTCCCCACCTGGAGTACTGTGTACAGCTCCAGAGCCCCCAGCGCAAGAAAGACATGGACTTGTTTGAGGGGGTCCCGAGGAGAGCCACAAAGATGCACTTTCATAGTATTAATTATAAGGATAAGTTTTTCTGTGGTTAAATGATATAGACTATATCAGAAATCAACTAAAACCATGTGAATACACAGGTTGTACACACAAAAGAAATCCTTACTGTCCTGTGCTCCATTTAATTCACCTTCTAATGCATCAATTTTTAAGGCATTTCACACAGCAAATTCCTGTGTCGCCTGAAATGGGCATGAAGACATAACTAGAGTGTACTATTAAGAATATAAAAACCAATTAAAAAAAAATGTATGTTACAGGAAAAGACAAATTTGCTGTTAACCAAAAAAATCTAAACACAAATAAGATTACCATACTACTGTGGTAACGACCCAATGAACCAAGATTTGCAAGGGTGAAAAGGAACATTTGATTAATCTGTGAATGTGTTTTAATCTCTAACTACTCTCATTTGTTAATAGCCACTCCTGGTTACACTCACAGTGATGATGATATTCTACTTAATGTGACACTGACATTAGTATTTGTGAAAACTAAATATTTGTTTTCTGAATGAAACTAATTAGGTTGATCTGACATAAAAGGCAAAATGTATGAGCAGAGTTAAGCCAAATGAAGTCTGTGTAACATCATGTCTATTTAAACATGAAGCATCCCTAAGAACCAGCAGCAGTTAATGTAATGACAGCACTGGAAGCATTTTAACTTACCTCTGAACATGCTAAGTGTTTGACATTTTTAAACCAGTCAACGTGTGCACGACAGTGATCAAAGGCATGAATCAATTCATGTGCCACTACCCGGTTCATGTGGGATTGATGGTGAATGTTGTTCTGACACAGAACAATCTGGAGAAGAAAAGATATGGGTAGTCTTTCCACTGAGTTTCAACACCCTGCTTACCTCTCAGAGACCCAGCGCGCATCACCTACGGGATTTAGCCTCTTCAGATCAGTGGTTTTCGACATTAACAGCGTTGGCATTCTGCAGAATACTAGTTCCAACACTATGGGACATCTTTCACTCACCTCGTTTTCACGACTAATTCAGATACCACCACTAATAAATTTAATGCTAATAACAAAACATTAGGGGGAAAAAAAACCCAACCCTAGTCCTTGGAAGGAGGACAATGTCCAGTGCCTACCTGAGATGTGGCAGAATCAAAACCTCCACTGACACAGCCATCACAGTTTTCACAAGAAAAGTGCCGGTCATTGAAGACAGTGCTGAAAGGCCCAAACAAATAAAGTTACGGAGAATTTGGAAAAGATCAGTAAGTCCACATAACAGCCATGTCACTACACAAAACAAACCGAGTCATTTTACATACCAACCAGATTGTTTCATAGCCTCGAGAAGAAGTTGAGCATATGGATCTAGAAAAATATTGCTGCAATCAGTTTCTCTAGACAAAAGTTTTGAAAGTCATCTATAAGCAAAATATAAACACAGTCAAAAGAGAAAGGAGTACTGCATATGCAAATCCATACTTTGCAGTATGTAAATAGCATCTGTTACAGCTCCGGCTATGTAAAGTCATACAGGATGATAAAATATACGGTGTATATATATATCTAAAGCTACTCAGGATCCGGTCACTTCTGCCTTACTCGTTTCCAGGGTCATCCTCAGCATCACCTGGCACTTGTTGTGGAAGGTGAAAAGGCTGCGGACCAGGAAGCTCTGCGGCTTCTTCTTCCGGTCCGGGAAGAGCCGGTAGCCCAAGTCGTCCTCCTCCTCCGGCGGCTGCTGGGCCTCCGGCTCGG